GTTAAAGCAGTCTCAAACTGGATCATTTCTGCAGTGTGTTTTGGACCGAAGTCTGGAGCCTTCTTGTTATCATTTGTGGAAGCTGTTGCAAAAGAAATGGGATTTGCTTAATGTGCTAATCAGGAGGTGCAAAGATTTCCTGCAGTAAATCCCATTGACTGAGATGGAATTTGAAATGGGTGCCCCTTGTGTAATTTTTAAACCAACTCTACATTTCTCTTCCTGCTCATCACTTGAGCACATAAAGATGGTAGTGCCCAGCAGGGGCTATTGCTCAGCAGGCGAGAATCTGAGGGTTTGAGAAAGAGGTTTGCTTAATTTTATTTATTTATTTATTTATTTATTTATTTATGGGATTTATATCCTGCCTTTCTCCCAAAATGGGATTAAAATGTCTTTTGGCAGGAATATCTGTCCTCCCTGCCCTGACTTCTTTCAATCTCCATATCGTTACTTGCCAAGCTTTGTTGCGTTATTTTCATCCAATGTGCCAGGAACCACACCATATTTTTAATGTGGATATTATTGTTTCTTTTTTTTCTTGGAAATTTACCAGGCACTTAGGAGCCAATGGCTCAGGAACCAGCACTGGTCCAGGCACCATCACTATGAGTTGCATTGGTCTGGGGATTCTGGGCATTGTGATCCAGAAAGGTCACCTTCCCAAGTTCTGATCTGCTCAGGGTTTCATTCATTCATGGTAACAGACCAAATATAAAGATAAAATAGATAAACACACACACAATTACAAATAAAATACAGCTAACATTCCTAAAACACTAAGTACAAATGTCTAACTGTTTATATCTGATACCCCCAAAATACAAACTGAAGAAGGTAAAATGTTAAAATGTCTTAGATAAAATGTACACTTAAATATAAAAGTAAGCTTTCTGTATTAGAATTTCTTCCCTAATATTTATCTGTGAGTAGTAATAGCCAGCCTTGCATAGTGGTTTGAATGTTGGACTATGATGCTAGAGACCAAGGTTTGATTCCCAGCTGGGCCAGGAAACCCACTGGGTGATCTTGGGCAAGTCACATACTCTCAGCCTCAGAGGAAAGCAATGGCAAACCAAAATAAACAAATCTTTCCAGGAAAACTCCAGGTGTCCCAGGTGCTGAACCTATTTGTGATGTTCTTAGGGTCCTTGAGCTCATGGCAATAGGGTGGGTAACCCATACACATTTAAAATATATTTTGACCAGACGTCCTCCTTTTCCAGGACATGTCCTCCACTTCAACCTCCAGTCCAGGAGGAATTCCAAAAGTTCCTCCATTTTGAGTGGGACTCAGAAGCATGCATTTATTATTTATAGGATTGTTTGTAGCTTTTATTTGGCCATGCCCTACATTTTGTCTTGAATGTCGTACATTTTGCGGCGCCTTGTCCTATGCGGTTGGGACATCTGATCATCCAGATTTTTATGTACAACCATGAGGACTAGAAACATGGCTTTTAGAAATGACGTTTGACATTCTCCCATTTTTATCAAACCAGTGGTGCACATTGAATATATTTGGATTAAAGATATGGGTTATGAAAGAGCTGGTCAAACGGGAAATGTGTTGAGCTAGATTTCTTACTGCAAGAGACACACAATGAATGGGGTGAGAGTCCAAGGGGCAAATCCATTTCTTTGACAAATCTTTATCCTAGGGCTAGATCCAGACTTAGAATATATCTGCACTATGCAGTTTATTGAAGATCGATGCCACTTTATCACTGTTCTATATGACATAATCTTGGGATTTGTAGTTTGGTAAAGTATCACACTTCTCTGAATTAGAACATTAGAGCTCTGTAGTAAAAAAATTCTAAGCATCTCACCAAACCACAAAATCCAGAATGTCATAAGATATAGCCAGCGTAGCATAGTGGTTTGAGTGTTGGGCTACGGCTTTGATGGCCAGGATTGATTCCTTGCTTGGCCATGAAACCCACTGGGTGGCCTTGGGCACGTCACAGGCTCTCAGCCTCAGGAGAAGGCAATGGCAAACCTCCTCTAGACAAATCGTGCCAAGATAACCCCACAATAGAGTCGTCTTAAGATTGCCATAAGTCAGAAAAAGCTTGAAGGCACACAACAACAACATAGCCAAAGTACTCTCAGACTGCTATTTTAAAATACAATAAATTATTCTGGCGTTTTATAATTACTTTCCTAGAAGTAAGTCCCACTGAATACAATGGGATTTTATATGTATTGCGTGTATATATCTGTGTATGCAGGGAAGGAGAGACCCAATGTTGTTTAGTGGTTTGAGTGTTGGACTATGACTGGAGACCAGAGTTCAAATCCTGTCTAAGCCATTGAAACCTACTGGGTGACCTTGGGCAAGTCACACTCTCTCAGCCTCAGAAGGTAAAGGCAACCCTTCCAATTAATCTTCCTAAGAAAAACCTGTGATAGGTTTGCCTTAGGGCCATGATATGTCAGAAACAACTTGAAGGCACACACCACACAACTTGGGAGAGTCACCTTTTACATTTTTTGGACTATAATTATATAAAACTGGAATTGCTGGAGTATACTGGAAATTTTAGATCAACAGTTTTTCCAAGCTCTCATATACACACAACCGGGGCGGGGGGAATTACTTTTAGGACTACAGCTCCCAGAACCCCACACCTAACACGGTCACTGCCTTATCTCTCTGTCTGTGGAGTGTGTGCTCAGGGATTCTGGGAACTGTAGGACAACAGAATGTTTTCCCCCAAGCCTGCTGTCATCCACACACCCACAAACAGAGCTTCAGAAATTTGCTTTTTGGACTACAGCCTCCAGAATCCCCCGATTGATATGATCATGGTAAGTAGGTGCATATGCTGGGTGATGCAGTGAGCTACCATCCAATGAAGCAGTTTTGCCTAGCTCTGCTCTCATTCATAGACACCCATACAACATATATTTTTTGTGCATTTTGGTTCATCCAATAAATGGTATCACTTATTTTGTGGATTTTGGATGTTATAACAGTTGGAACACTAGAGAGCCACTGTGGTATAGTGGTTTGAGTGTTGGACTATGGCTCTGAAGAACAGGGTTCGAATCCTGGCTCAGTCATGAAAACACTTCTCTTGGCATGTCTAGCTCCTCGATTCTTTGGTATGCTTAGGCCAGACATGGACCACAGAATCACACTGGTGGACCTAGAATTGCCTAGAAAGAATACTTTTTTCAGGCATGGATAAGTGAAACTGCAGGTACCAAATCTGTAGATATGTGGCAACCTGCTTTTAGTTGTACATTTCAAAATTTAAACTGAAAAGCGGATTGCTTCTTCCACCTTCCAGGTGACTGCAATGGAAGCTGAAAAGAATAGAAAGATGAGTGGGGTGGAGTAAGGGGATCAAGCATGGGGACAGATGGCATCCTTTGGCAGAAAGTTGTTAAGGGCTGGCCTACCTTTCCTGCAGAATAGGAAGGAAGGAAGATCTTCCATGATGAGTGCAGCCAATTAGACAGAATCATATTTCCAGAATGGAAATTGGCTGGGAGAAAAACCTTAACAGTTTTTCTCAGCTGCATGATAAGAAGATGTGGTTGTCTACTAGGGGGTTGCAGACTACCAGAAATAGTGCAAATTGAGTCTACTTTTAAGGTTAGGGTTAGGGTTAGGGTTAGGGAATCATGGGAACTGTATTTTATTGTGGCACCAGAGCTCTCTGACAGAGAAGGCTCAATGTCTCAGAAAAAAACCCCACAATTCCCATGATTGCCTAGCACTAACCCCAACCCTAAAAGTGGACTCAATTTGCACTATTTCTAGCAGTCTGCAAATTGGAACAGTGGGCCTTGGAAGACCAAAGCATCAGAATAATTGCAGTTGTATCCAACAGCGTCCTTCAGCTAGTGGGAAGGACATTGCTAGTAGACTGATGATTTCCTCTTTGCTATGTTTGCTGTTATGTGCCCTCAAGTCCTTTTGAATTATAGTGACCCTAAAGCGAACCTATCGCAGGGTTTTCTTGGCAGAATTCAGTGGGGATTTGCCATTGCCTTCTTCTGCAACTGAAAAAGTGTGACATGTCCAGGATCACCCAGTGGGTTTCCATGACTGAGCAGAGATATGAACCCTGGTCTCCAAACTCATAGTCCATTGCTCAAATCACTACACCACACTGGCTCTCCCCTATTGTCCTCCAAGCTCTTTAAATATCTCAAGGGCTGTCCCAGAAAGGAAGGGGCAGATCTGTTCTCTGCTGTCCCAGAGAATAGGACCAGGGCTAATGGTTTGAAGTTACAGGAGGGGAGATTTCAATTGAAGTTCAGTAGGAACCTCATGACCGTAAGAGTAGTTTGCCAATGGAATCAATTGCCTATGAGATGGTGGGGTCTCCTTCTCTGGTTGTCTTCAAAAAAAGGCTGAATAGTTAACAGCTGGGGATGCTTTAGCTGAAGATCCTCTGGCTGGATGGCCCATAAAACCACCTCCAACTCTATGATTCTAGGACTCTACAACTCTACAGTTCCTGCAGGGGAATCAGAGAATCATAGAGTTGGAAGAGACCACAAGGGCCATCAAGTCCAACCCCTGCCATGCAGAAACTCTCAATCAAGGTATGCCCAACAAATGGCCATCCAGCCTCTGTTTAAAGACCTCCAAGGAAGGAGACTCCACTACACTCTGAGGGAGTGTGTTCCACTATCAAACAGCCCTTACTGTCAGGAAGTTCCTCCTAATGTTGAGGTGGAACCTCTTTTCCTGTAGCTTGCATACATTGTCCGGGGTCCTGTTCTCTAGAGCAGCAGAAAACAAGCTAGCGCCCTCCTCAATATGACACTCCTTCAAAAAGGGCTGTCATATCACCTCTTAATCATCTTTTCTCCAGGCTAAACATACCCAGTTCCCTAAGTTGTTCATAGGGCATGGTTTCCAGATACTTCACCATTTTGGTTGCCCTCCTTTGGACACGCTCCAGTTTCTCCACATCTTTTTTGAATTCTAGTGGCCAGAACTGGACACAGTATTCCAGGTGGGGCCTGACCAAAGCAGAATAGAGTGACACTATTACTTCCCTTAATCTAAACACTATACTTCTATTGATGCCTAGAATTGCATCGACCTTTTTAGCTGCTGCATCACACTGTTGACTCATGTTCAATTTGTGGTCTACCTGGACTCCTAGATCCCTTTCAAATGTATGGTTCTCAAGCCAGGTGTCCCCCATTCTATATGTATGCATTTCATCGTTTCAGCTTAAGTGCAGTACCTTACATTTCTCCCTGTTGAAATTCATTTTCTTAGTTCTGGCTCAGCTTTCTAATCTATTCAGGTGTTTTTGACTTTTGAGCCTCTCCTCTGGGGTATTAGCTACTCCTCCTAATTTGGTGTCACTAGCAGATTTGATAAGCATGCCCTCTATTCTTTCATCCAAGTCACTGGGGAAATGTATGGAGAGCCAGTGAGCTTTGAAAGCTATCTGGCTGGTTGAAGTACCAGCAATGTGCATTTTAGAGAGCCAGTGTGGTGTAGTGGTTTGAACTAGGGCTAACTAGGACTAGACTAAACTAGGACTCTGGAGACTTAGGACGTTATTACACGGGGCAAATCTGCTGGTTAATCCACACAAATC